CCGTTTATCACCTGAAAAGCACACAGCACCACCTGGATCAGACCCATGACCAGCAGCACAGAGAAGAGAGACAGATGCCAGGGCACCACACCCGCTGGCTCTTGACACACAGTATCCCTCAAAGTTGCGTTGCCTAGGTAGTCTCTGTAGAGGAAGGGTTAAAAAGAAAAGAGCAAATATGTGAGATGTTTCGTGAGCCACAGTTTACCTTAAGATACAAGAGACAAGTGCAGCAAAGGTAGCACTAATACACTTCGACTCTTAAATGTTCAATTTAAGTTTACATTTAGTTGTGCTTAAAATAAACAGCAGTTTACACTGTTATTGGCACAGAATTCTTAATGTTTGGCTCTTAGCAAATCAGTTGCCAGATTTAGCGTGAAGCCCTTTTACAAGACAGTATTTGTATGTCTCTCTGGTTGTGTCATGCATCTGTACTGCAAACAGAATCCCCAAACAGGCCCCACACTATCTGAAACGAAGCCTTCACTGAGCACTGAGAATTGGAGGTGCTACAAATTTAGCCTGTATGTATTCCAAATGCTTTCATGTGTACCCAGCTGAAAGAAAGGACATGCTGATCATTCCATTGCTATGGACAGAGTGATAAAAAAACAAACTACTGAACGCATTTTAACACTTGATTATTCTCTATGTCTCACCCATTGGAGAAGGGATAGCCCCAGTCGAGTGTGGTGCCGTTTATAAAAAAGGAACACTTAGGTCCACGGTTGATGGCCACCGCTGAGACTATAACTGAGTAACCGGCACCAACAACACCAATACCTGCAAACAGCATCGAACTCAACATCTGCAGAGAGAGAGAGAGAAAGAGTGGGGAGAGGCATGGTCAGTTACTCAAACTGAGAATCAAAACATTTAACAATGCCCCTTTAAGCTTCTTAAAATAAGACATCAATGAAGTTATTGTGTTAGTATCCAGAGGCCGTGCTCAAGGCCAGGTGCACAAAGTAACACTTGCACACATTCCTGAAGTATCGATCAATTGCGTGATCCTAACTGTACAACGCAGGCTCTGTGCTACACAGCTGTGCGGGGAGTGTTACCATGATTGAATTTGTAGTACTTTATGGGAGGGTGTGTGTTTTCCCAATTTATTGCTGTGTAAATCATGAGGGGATGTGTGTACATAGTTCATCTGTGTTTGTTTTCCATTACACGCTCAGAGTATCTCAACGCTGAAGTTAACAGGTGACTGGTAGACCCTCAAGCATAATACCTCTAATATAAATGCTGTTTTTAATAGTTTTAAAACTGTTAGGAGGAAAAAAAAAACCAAATGACAAAGAAAACTTAGATTTTCTGAAGATTCCCTGAAGACCCTTGTCCTCAGAGAACAGAGGTCTAACATTTCTGCCTAGACTGGAATTTTTAAAAATCTAATTTTCACATTCCTTTTAATTTAGATTAATTCCCAATTAATTGCATCAACTTACAGTAATATTTGAAGACATTTCTGATCACATTTGTGCACTGGGTCATGCTCTAGGTAGCAATTATCTAATGCAGCTGTATGCTGTATATATATTTGAATGCCTTTTCAGTCTTGTTAAATGTGTGTGTGTTTTTGCCTCCACGGAACATCACTGAGCTTTACTTGTCCAAGCAAAAAGGCCAGGTTTGGCCTAATGGTCACACCTTTTTTTAAACACACCGCATATTCACTTTATTCCATGTAGCTGCCTCCTTTTAAGCATCTTTTTGCACTTTCGTTGTTTAAAGGGCCAGTTGATTGGTGCCATTGTTGATGTCACTAGTTACACTTGCTGTTTATGTGTAGTCCAATTGAAACTCAACATCTCATTTAAAGGAGAGACTTGTTTCAGAAAAACAGATCAAAATTGAACGTGAAAAATCTTCTCACCGCGAATCTCCGACCACAGCTTTCATTGCCACAGCAACCGCAGCAGTCATTGTTCTTCAGACCCAGGAAGACCAGAGCAGGGAAGATCATCTGCCACCCAAAAACACACACAGTTCACACACAGATCATTAATGAACCGGTCATTCATTAAAGCTGTAACAAAATTGTTAATAAAATATTGATATCAACAATTACATATATAATATTAATATATTAATCTCTTGTGAATCATACAGTATGACGTCATAAATTCTTTATTCTTTTCCCCTAAAACTTAATTATTTAAAAAAAAAAAACCCCACATATATATATATATATATATATAATATATATATTATTAAATATATATATATATATATATATAATTTTTTTTTAAGACGTGCAACTAATTCCTCATTGGGATTTACAGTCTGAAACTGACTGTGTATCTAATGATAAACTTTCCTTTGTGGAGTTTTCATATACACATAATAATAACAACAATAACAAAGAAGAAGCGTACAATTTATTCACAACACCGTTTGACATGCAATGCTTAACAAATGTATAAAAAACAAGAAAACACAAATATTTTAGAAATGTGACAAAAACTTGTTTAAACCTAAATTTGGACTGGCATAACATTCAATCAGTAAAACATATTTTTCGGTTCACCATAATTAGGTGTAATTCTATACTTTTGTAATTTCTCTCTTTTTTTGTAAAACAATAAATTAGAGAATTCATGGATAACAACAGTAATTATATTTTAACATGAAAAAATACTGATTAATGAGTTTGCATGTACAGATGGATTCACTATTACAGAAGCATGAAAATTATTTTGGTAGTTACTAATACTGTTAATTTAGGGGAGTTGTGACATAAACTTTTTTTTGAGCGCTGGTCTAATTAACTGGTTAAGTGCAGTATAACACATACTTTGCAACTTTCTGATATTCTGCAGGTATTAACCATTTAATTCCAAACTGACTGTTAGATTATTTACTGAGAATAAGTTTAGCTATACCAATAATTACAACATTAATGGCTAACAATCATGACCTCATGAGCTGAAGATGAATTAATTCATATTTTAAAAACATAATTTCATTGTATTGTTCACTAATGCACTCACCAGCACTCCAGATCCCAGAATGCCTCCAAAGTACCAGACCTGGTCTGTGATGTTTTTACTGTCCACCGACTTTCCTCCGGGAAAGAAGAGCAGGATGTTGCAGAGCACACACACAATGCATAAGGGTATCAGAGTGAACCCCAGACATCTAGCAAAGCCACCCGAACACATTCTGACGCTGATGTTTCGACAGCTCCCGACGACACCAACAACACCTGAAGTTAGAGAAGGGAACTTTAAAACTCCACCTGGGATGCTGTTTCCGTTGAATTATCTCAGCGAAATGATTTAGACTTAAATTAAGCCCAGTCTTTATCCACTTCAAGGGGCTCAAACGATAAAATGTTGAGATTGTGGCACTGAAGAATATCACTGCACCTATTACATTCGACCTGTATTAAGCGCAGTGTCCCCAACACACCCTAAAAGTTTCTCACCAAATCTCAGACCTTTTGAATGATGCGTCTGCTTCACCTGTCCCAGATATGTGAGAATAGTTAATAATTGAATGAGCCTTTATAGAATCCCCCTCTCCCCTCTCCCCACCCCCCACCCACGCCTTCCCCTCACCCTCCCTTCACCCCATCCCCGCCTATCTCTGTGTGATCTCATTGCTTCAATTTTACATTAGGCAGCTGTAATATGGCAGGATCTCTCCCAGTTGTGCACGCAATGTGCAAACACACATGCACATGCTCATGGCTGCATGCAAACACACCGAGAGCCATTAATGCTAAATTACATGCCTGTGTGTGCACACAGACACAGCAGTGAAGACACAGCGGTCACACTAGTTAATGTTCTACACTGAGTTCACATGGAGACAGAAGAGGAAGTGACAGACAGTTGGTCTATACAGTGAGGCCCTCTTAGCTGTTAGTCACCTGACACAGTGAGTAATCTTGGAGTGGAACATTATTATGAGCAATGTTCATCATTAATCACTGTAGAAGTGTCAGAAACACCCAGTAGAAGTACAGTGGACCACAGCCTTTCTCGTAATAAATTATCTATCGATTAAATACGAAAGCTTGTCGGGTGAATAACATGTGAATTCTGTCTTTAATCAACTCTCATTGTAAATGAAGGCATCTATTGATGTTGATTGGTTAAATTTAATTTGGTCTTTTCAAGGTAATCTGGGTGAACTACTTAACAACAAGGATCTGGATTAGACATTGGTCTCTGATATCTATTTTTGTGCGAACCTGTCCCTGTGATTTTAGTTATGATAGAGACATTACAGAGAAGCATCAACTATTGGATCTTAAGCTGGCCTAAAAACCCTTCCACAACATCATATGATTGTGGATACCACACTATAACTTCCAGTTTTCATATCAAGACAAACAGTGAAATTAAAGACTACTTCGCAGTAACTGTTCAATTAAATTCCTGGAGATGTTTCAAGGTGACTGCTGAGCAATCAGACTTGCTTCTGGAATGATTCTGGCTTTTAATATAGTGAATAAGAAGAAAACATGTTGACAAAAGACATCTAGTATCCCATAAAAAGCATTCCTTGTTTGGCAGAAGTAAACAAATACAGTAAACTATATTTGGCTTCCTCAGGTGGATCTACAAGCAGGGGTGCCCAATCCCGGTCCTCGAGAGCTACCGTCCTGCAGCTTTTAGATGCATCCCTACTCCAACACAGCTGAATCAAATTGTTTGATTACCTCTTCAGCATGCCATCGTGTTTGGCAAAGGCCTGGTAACAAGCCATTCATTTGATTCAGCTGTGTTGGAGTAGGGATGCATCTAAAAGCTGCAGGACGGTAGCTCTCGAGGACCGGGATTGATATTCCATTATGAGATTCCGTTGTAGTTTTTTCTGTTAGTGTTGAGATTGTGCCAGTTCTCAGTTTTCCGAGTGAAAACTTAACCTTAAAGCAATTCATAAAGTGGCACATAAACGCAGCAGTAACAACAAAAACAACAATAATACTGATTATCCCGCCGGTCAACGGCATGATCGATGTTGTCTGCGATACGCTTATCTTGTCTGCCTTGTCGACATCAGAGCAATCGATCAGAGGAGTAAAGTCCAGTTCTCTCTTTTACTCGTCCGTCATTTTCACGTAGTTTCTGCCTCAGTCGCTGATATTTGAAACCAGAATGGGAACCGACTTGACTTTTTCCTCTCGTCGGTCCCCTGTTGTGTGTTTACACGGCTGCGTGGCCTCCAGCCAACCTTTAGCTTCCAGTATAGGACTGGGTAAGTGGGTGGAGTGCCGTGGAGAATTGAAACGAAAAGACGGCCAAAAACTTTTATATTCTTATTTCGAAGTATGAGCACAAAGAATCTGACTGCGTGACGCAAAATTTACCAACATGTTTGTAACCCAAAAGACAAAAAATAAAGGGTGACAGTAAAGATTCAGTTGGTATCGTAAGCGCTAATCTGATGCTATTAAACCATCAAATCTCAGCAACTGCTATGAAGACTGTGCTGAGCCAAAAAGGGATTTCCGGTATGTGCCAAAAACATCATTGCCCGTATTTAAACCGTTATAAATGACTTACTTGCCAATAATCTGTTAAACATATGTCAAACGTATCTCTCATGAAAGATATCAAGTCATTTTGAGCCACAAATAAGAGATCTGTCCAAGAGGGCGGCGGCCAAAAAGGGCTGGATTTATTATAGTATTGGTCACAAAGAGCCATAAAGATACTTTTCTTAATCGTGTATATATATATATATATATATATATATATCGATGTGCTGTGAATACTTAAAAAAAGAAAAATAATTCGACCTTAAGCTAGATGAAAACACAGGTGAAAATGTATATATATTTTTATATTGGCCACTAAAATTGGATGCACCTGTATTACAGTCAAAATCCTTCTCCACCTATAAGTTTATGTTTGAAGCCACCTCAGTGTTTATGTTTTGTCTATAAGATGTTAGAAAGTCTTAGATACTGGTTTGGTCCAACCAGCAATTTAAGACTGAAAGATATTCAGTTCACCGATGGATCACTTTGTAAACCCTTGCAGCTGGATACCAGAACCTTATGTCAGGCTTCCTTGTGGGACTTGACAATGCATTAGTTAAAATAGATACAACAGAGCATATAGATCAGAATCCCGATTATAGGTATAAAATTGTTATTGTGTCGATCATTTCTCGTAATGTCTTGTTTCACCTAGCTTGATTGTGATTGGCTGATTTGTTTAAAAAAATCAATACATCTCACAATATTGATTAGTATTCCAGTTAGAGTAGTATTCCTATTTGCATGTATATGATCCCCTCACGGAGCCGGTTCTGTCTATGCTTTCATTTGTGTTTAATATATTCTGGTGCTTCTGAGATACAAATATAAGTAGAATATAGTTTGCTGAGCCCCGAAACTGACAATATCTGTGGAGTCCTCAGCCATTGGATATGGATCGTGGATCTTTTGAGCCACTATTGATCATGTGCCTCATCACATGAGCCAAGGTATGAAAAAAGGCGTAGGTCATTATCAGCAGAGGTTTCGGGTGAAACCATTGTAAAACTTTGCCTCACCCTGTCATGTGACCTATTGACAACACCTGACACAAGATGTGATTTGGGGTTGAGGTGAAGGTGACTAGCAGGGGATCTCAAAACTGCATTTTAGGTAAGCCACCTCCTCTGATCTTTCCAAGATGGTCATTCACAGTGGACATAGATGGCCTCTTTCACTCCTCTTTTAAGCCATCTGTCTTCTCTGTCCAAAATGTGAATATTGGAATCCTCAAAAGAGTGACCTTTATCCTTTAAATGTCTTATCCTGTCGAGGTGGGGGCTGTTTGGTTTCTTCAGTGTAGAGGTCTGAGCACTCCAATGGGTAACCAATTTTTGTCTGAGGGTGTGGCTGGGTCTGAAGTGTACTGGGATATCGTGCTTGGAGATTCAGAGAATAATATCTGCATGATTAAGCTCTAGCGGTACTTAATCAAGGGAAAGGGAGCTGGTGGTTGAAGTCTAAAGCAAAAATGGTTTGCATGACATAAATGAGATGGTATTTAAATTTATTTTAAAAAAGCGTTGTGAACAGTAGAAAATTCTAAACACATTTCAGCATTACCATTTTAAAAAAGGAGTGTCAAATGAACTTATAAGAGAAAAGTGTTCAGTCACACATATTCACTTAATTGTATATTGATTATATAACCAGTTATTAATGTGGGCCAAAAAAGGCTAAACAGTAATTACACATTTGCTTATAGAAGTGAGCATAAATCTGGTTTGTTGGTGTTTTGTGACATCTACAATAAATATATAAGCTCATTTGTAAATCTAAAAAGTTTTTTATTGGGCTGTGAGAAAAGAATTAAGCTAAAACATGATGTGGGAGTGTTCTTTTTGTCAAATTATGCTGGAGTGTATGGAGGTAAGGACCTAAATGCAAAGACGCTGAGAGTTCAATGTCAAAAGCTGTTTATTTGTAAGCTGTTGTAATAAAAAAGTGGAAAGTGGAAACAGATCTGTAACAAGAAACAGGTGAAACTAATCAAAACTAACAAGAGAGATCCACAAGTACAAATAGGCGCAGTGATTCCTATATGAATACTTTTAGAACAACAAAATTGTCGTAAAATTGCATGCAGCCAACAGGAAGAAAAAAAACCAAACATACAAAAAACCCCAAAGATGAGCATTATTACTGATGCTCATCAGGGATAAACAAAGACATTAGATGCTATTAAAAATATTTTAAACCCCCCTACTATCTGAGCACAGAGGTCAGAGGGGTTGTTCCAGGAATGGTGACACTGTGACTTGACTCATCATTAGGAGGTGAGTTTACATAACATAACATAACATAACATGCTTTGGACCAGGTTTGGTTTGCAGCATAAGTTACTATGGTGATGTACCCTGGTAAGAAAAGAACCACTATCACAGTATAGAAAGCCCTGGGTTAGGTTATGTGGACAAAACCAAATCCAGCTTTGTTGTACAGGCCTCAGAACACCAAAATAAATAGTGAAGAATTAAAAGCCCAAGAAAACGCAAAACCCAGGGTCCAAGACCCCGGACCATGACAATTTCATGCTAGGAATGCTGCTGTGATCTAATATGTTGCACAAACCAGTCACATCCATCAGTCATGGGTACATATTTGTGTCCAGATGTCCTGAAGCGTGGTGGCAATGCGGCAGATGCTGCAGTTGCCATAGCAGCAGCCCTGGCAGTAACAGAGCCGTGAAGCACCGGCCCTGGTGGAGACGCCTTCTGCTTGTTCTACAACGGAAACACTGGAGAGATCAGAGGGATTAACGGCAGGTGGGGAATCCTTTGGTGCTTTCCTTGTTTTTCCCTATGTGTGCAAAAATAAACCGAACCTCTCTCTGTGTCCTCAGTGGTCATTCTCCCCGAGCACTGACCCTGGACTTCCTGGAAGGACAAGGTTACACCGCAGAGAGGCCTCCTTCAGTGTTTGATGCTCTGAATGTTACAGTCCCTGGGGCCCCAGCATGTTGGTGTGATACTGTGCAGCTGCTAGGAAGTCACAAGGTTTACTTATGTTTGTCTTCTATACCTGTGACATGGGAGTGTTTTATAGAACACTCTGGCAGCCCGTCTGAGATAAATCATTTGACTGAGGTAAATACCTATAAACCCTGCAGAAGTGACCAGCATGCACAAACATGCCTGGAAATAGGACTTGACTTTGAACCAAAGAGACATCAACAAAGAATGGAAAAGCTTATCATTGCCTCTGTAGAGATTTCCTTTATTTGGTCACAGCTGCAATAACTTGTCCATCTATGGTTAAATTTGATGCAGGTCCTTGAAAGTGGGGACAAAGTCTATCTAAAAAAACAAACAAAAAAGACTCCCATTATATTCAAAGACTCCCATTATATTCAAAGACTCCCATTATATTGGAAGCAACAGAGATCAATATGACTTGTTCATTACTTCTCACCTTATATGTAGGTTAAATGACGTGCAATGTAAATATCACAGTATAATGGCGGTGAAGGAAAATCAAACACATTGCTTGATGACTAACATTCAAATTAGTGGAATTCCCTCAGAAAATTGTAAATTAGTTGTATCCTTTGCTTATTTTGTCACGGAGCAGTATCTCACTCTTCCTGTTCAGTTCAGTTTCCTGTTACATGCATGTGTTTCCTCTGCCTACTTTGCTAGCTGTCCTTACAGGAGGTCCTGAGTGGGGCTGTGGAACTAGCAGAGGTGGGGTTTCCTGTGGCTGAGTTAACAGCTCACCACTGGGCGAACTGGGTGTCTGCTTTGAGGGATGCTGGAAAGGAACTGGGTGTAGAATTGATGATTGACGGTCATGCGCCCAAATGTGGACAAGTATTCCAAAACACTGGCCTGGCTCGAACTTTGAAGGTAAATCCACAGGTCACTTGAGGAGCAGAAGGTCATTTATTTCTAATAACTTGTGTTATTCACACAAGAAGGAAACACAACAATGTAGAAGTTGTGAGAAACCCCTGTTTGTTCTGTGTCATTATAGGAGTTTTCTAAATTTAACTTAGCCTTTTATACTACAAGGCCTTGGATAAGCCCAGAGGTATCATAGGAAGTTAAATCTCTAAGAGAAGAGTAATGGAACAGTGGAGAGGAAGTAGTGAAAGCAGAACAACAATAGATAATGGGGATTAGATAGAAATGGATGGATGTATGTGATACTTTTAAAAGCTTGTCTTTGGGCAGAAAAGCCCCATCTGAGGATATAAGGGCAGCAAAATGGCTCATGTGGTGTCAGCATTCTGGCTGTACAGCTTGGCAAGACCTGGCAAAATTCGACAGGGTACAGTGTGTAACAAGATAGTCAGTAGAGGGAAAAAAGGATTTGTGTGATGTATTGCTTCTGACAAATAAAATGGTGATTATGTTTTAAGTGTAGTTTTAAAAGTTACTGTGAGTAATTTGTTATGACCTGAAGCCAATAAAGCTGAACTTAAGCTTTATTCAGCTACTGAAATGCGAATGCTGCTTTTTTTAGTGCCATGTGTCAGTACTGTAAGTACTCCACCTTCATGTGAATGTTCAGCCATGACTCTGTGTCTAATTTTGTATATGTAATGGCACATTTATACAACTATTGTCATTTCATAGATTCCGGAGTCAGTCAGACTAAAGAAAAGCATGGCTTATGTCATTGTGTGTTTATCTGAGTGTGTGGTTGCCTGCTTGTGAGTCACCACTAAAATATGCATTGATTGAAATCAATTCAAACAATCAAGCGTTTATAATACCATAACGCAGGAAGATGGCCAAATGTGCCCTATCTCAACACCCACAGACACACGCACACACCTACACTCATGACCATGAGGCAGTGGAAAGAACAGCGATGACCTCAGCCTCATTGATGATTAGATTCTTTGATTGTTCTTCGATAGTTGTGCGTGACTTCACTGTGGGGCAAAGTCACAAGCACACACACACACACACACACACACATTGACTGGAGTGAACTTTTAAACGCTGGACAAGTGTTCCTCGATATCATGTTAACCACCATCTGTAAAACGTTTTGTACTGTGGCTGAGTGAGCAGTACATGAGCTCATGTATCGACAGGAGCTCGGTGAGCGTGGCAAGCCAGCTTTCTACCAGGGCAGAGTGGCCCAGGCCATTGTTGACGTCATCAACCAAAATGGGGGAGTCATGACCTTGGGTGACCTGAGCAGCCATGACAGCGAGGTCATCACCCCCATAAGCACAGAGTACAAGGTCAGAAACCAAAGATGCCGGTCATGTGTGTATTTTAATAACATGGTCAGCAGAATGAACTTGACTTCACTGTGTGTTTAGGGTGTACGTCTGTGGGAGCTTCCTCCTAATAGTCAGGGACTGGCTGCCCTGCTCATGCTCAACATCCTGGAGAACTTTCCTCAACTCAAAGGTAACCACAGGGACAGTGAAGAAGTCCCTGCCAGGTGCATTATTGCCTGTTGTAAAATCTTAAGTATACAGTAAATATGAGTCTGGAGAAGTGACTGAGTCATAAAAATAAAAACCATATATCTCCTACATTTCCATAAATCACATTTTATAACCCAACCCAGTTAGTTACAGTGTTCTGCCTGTTTGTCCCAGCCCAGCGCAGGGGAAATAAAAAGCTGCTCAGCAGAAAAACTAAAGAGACATTCAAAATATAAATAAAACAGGAAAATTAAAATGGATTTTCCTGCATTATGGAAGTCAGCTCGCTGGTGATTTCACTGGCCCGACCTGCCGTCCCTGCGCTGGAACACATCGCAGTGTGCTCTGATCTACCTTTGACCAAAAAGGGAAAAGGATATGCTTGTCCACAAAAACTAACCTCTGTGAGGTTAATTTTTTCCCAAATAGCAGGGATGCCAAACATAAGGTCCCGGGGGCCAGAATCTATCCAGCAAAGACTCTAAACTGGCCCCCTGGACCGCTTTGGAAAATATGAAGAAAGCTTTATCTGTAACTGTAATTGATAAGGACCTTCCCCGTGTCCATTTATACTGCACCAAAGTAATTATGTGATAGATATACAATGAAATGCTAGAAATCTTTCTGTTTTTTACGCTATTTACTACAGATTTTTTTCCCCCATGGGCTCCACATTTATAAAAAGGGATTTTTTTTGTGAATTACCATTTTATATTTGCAGGAGAGACTGGACAATGAGCTATAGCAACTTTTTTCTATAGTTTTACACATTAATTTCTTCTAATTTAAGTCCAAAGAGTCCTAATTAATTCATTTCTTTCACTACAGCACCACTTCTTTATCACGTAACTTATGTTATCTTATGGATTAAATTTGTACTACTTCTTTACACTGACAGAAAGTAAATTGTAAAATAAGTAACTGTTTTTGTTTTTGTGCAGTCAGAGTTCATGAACCTGCATACTTGGCTTTTCCTGGGCCCTATAATACATTTCTATGTGCTTGTGTTTGTGTGTGTGCGTATGTGTGTGTGTGTGTAGCTAAAGGCCATAACAGCTCTGACTATATCCATGTACTGGTTGAGGCTGTGCGATTGGCTCTAACAGATGCTCTGCGTTACCTGGGTGACTCAAGTCATGTGACTATCCCTTTGGAAACCTTGCTGGACAAGGGCTACAGTCACCAGCGAGCACAGCTCATCAGCACGGACAGGTGTGTGTTTCTGCGTGTGTATATCTGTTAGTACCAGTGTGTACCAGTCGTCCTCTGTTGACTTTAGATAGGTCTGTAGACTTATACTTCCCCTGACCTGAGCGCCCATCCCTTCTCGTCTCTTCCCTCACATTCACCCAGGGCGTGTGTCGTTGTGTGAGTGTATATTTTAGAAACAATGTGTTATATTGTTGAGGACTTTGAACTTGATCTGGTCTTTATCAGGGGAAAGACAAACAGACTATAAAAGTTAACAACAACACAATAATTGTGTTAACATATATTGATGTATACCGGGTATTAAATCCTGCTTTTTTGAAATTGCCGAGTTCATTTCGGTGTCACTGCACCATCAAACACACACAAATCCACACACTAATTCTACGTCTCGCTTCCATTGGTTGTCAACTTAACCTAAATGAGTCAACCAGGTCCAAACGAGGCATCAATTTGATTCTGATGTCTTGTTATCCTCACAACCTCTTCACACTTTTAATGTTTAGATGCTTCTAATAAACTAGGCAATAATGGGAAGTCATATAAAAACAGGAAATTATAAATATTTTTTACTGCACTGCAATAATCTGGTTATTGTAAAAGAAATAGAAATCTACAGATAAAGGTACTTTAAGGCAGGAAAACTCCTCAACCCTCGTTCATACCTGTAATATTGTGTTTATGGCAACATTTATTGCATAAGTATGAAACCTTTCAATTATCTTTGCAAACTTGGTAGTTTGGTTTTGTTCTTAAACCAACACAAGTTTTCTTTTCAGTCTACTTGAGTCTTAATTTTTCTTTCATTTTCCAAATATTTTAATAAAGAAATAGTAAAAAACAGACCTGTCAGGTGAACTTATTAATGAATATGATTGTTGTTGTATGTTTGTGTGACTCTGCAGGGCCATGGAGAGAGTGGAGCCCGGCCTGATGACAGGAAGTGACACGGTGTATTTCTGTGTGATAGACAGTGAGAGGAATGCATGCTCCTTTGTCAACAGCAACTATATGGGCTTTGGGACGGGGCTGGTCCCTAAAGACTGTGGATTCTCACTACAGGTCTGAAGGGTCAGAAAGAGAATGTCTTTAATTGTGCGCATGTAAGGTAGCAATGGCGTTTATCTGTTTGATTTACTGAAAGACTAGGAATTCTTCTAAATCATGGAAAAATGCTAAGAATTTAGTGTAATATGAGATTATGCTTCAAATAATTTGGGTCATTTTTAAAGTGATCAGCATAAAACAAGATCCTGCATTACCACTTGCAGCTGATTTCTCAGCTTGCCTCTTATATACTGCATTAATAAAGCTCTATAGGTTTTTATAATTACAATAAACTTCCCAGTAACACAGCAGCACATATGTAAGAGAATTTTACATGAACATGAATGCTGCCGTGTGAAACTAAGGGAAAAAAGACATATAAAATGAAGCCTGGGTGGAAAAAGTTGTAGATTTTCATATTTCATTACCTTAATTTGCATGCTCACATTACCTTACAAGCTCATTTTTGTTGTGCATGTAAATGTATTGATGAAGTCATGAAGACATTGTAGCCTCCTAAACTGGAACCACATAGACTGAAGCATAAAACATAAGTGTTTAAGCTAAAAGGGTTGAATTCTGATTTCTTTGTTCTATCTCTGCAGAATCGCGGCGCTAACTTTTCCCTGTGCCGTAATCACATAAACTGCGTTGCTGGGAGGAAGCGGGTGTATCACACCATTATACCTGCACTCCTCACCGATTCAACAACCACATCACAAAAACCCCGGCTCCTTGCTGCTCTCGGCGTGATGGGAGCTTTTATGCAACCACAAGGACACGTACAGGTACAGAGTCAGCAAGCGTCACAGAGCAACAATGTGAGGCATAAAGACATTTGTTTCTTAACACTTTTCCTGCCAGGGTATTGCCTTTAACTAACCAGAATCACATCCAGACCTCCCTGAATATTTTTATTCTAATAATAGACACACACACACATACGTACATATACACACACACACATATACACACACACACATACATACACATACATATACACACACACATACAGTTAGCGAGGCAGACAGATGTGGCGCTCGGCAGCACAAAGCCATGCTGAGCTACTGAAACATTTGTCCAGGCCCTCTGGGAGGCACAGATCACTGACCA